GTGAAGAGCACTTTTCTACCAGCGTAATTTTTCTGATGGAGGTTGCTTTTAGCGCTCGTTCAGTCATTGGAATAAAACAGCAAACCCACGAGCTTACATGTTAAGTTGATGAAAGAAATAGTGGGTGTAAAGCAACTTTATTTTAGAAAAGTGATAAATGCGGATGCTCTTTGCATAGTTCATAGATGCTGCTCACCGGGAGTGTTGTTTGTCCATTAAAAGACTGTTTAATCCCAGCGGTGCCAGACAGCCTTTCGGGAGGGTTTATAGCTGCAATCACTAACCACAAGAAGAAAATACTTCCTTTTTGCAAGGAATACAGTTTTTTTCTGTTTGATCTGCATAATTTATCTTCAGTTCATAGTTTCAGTTCAGCACCTCCAGTTTTTCCACCCTATATTCTCGTGCAATCTTTTCACAAGCAAGCCCTCATCACAGTTTCCATCATGTTCGGGAAAAACAGCGTCTCCATTTTATTATATTAATTCAAAAACAACTTCCCCAGTTAGCCGTAAGGGAAGATCTGTGTAGCTCCCTGCTCAAGTTCCTTTCCCGAGCCACCTTCTTCTTAGTGAGGAGGGCTTTCCTATGAAACCTTTTGCAAGGACCACGTGCCTGGGAGGAGTACGTTATCCATGCAGGGCACTATGCTATTTAATTATGTTCGGCAATAGTTTGCAAGCAGACCTGCAAAAAGCCAAATGCTGACAGGCAGAGCTGATGCAAAAGAGCAGATAGAAGAGAAAACACCGTCACTGGTTGAGAAAAGCGGGACAGTGAGAGCAGCTTGGGCTTCCCCTCCATCAGAGGCTTGAGTGCATCGGTGCTCTGGGGCTGGTGGGCGCTGGAGTTGGACGGGCAGCGCTGGTGGCCAGTGCCCCGGTGAGGGCAATGCCAGGGCCCGGCCGCTCGCTGCCTGCGCCGGCGGGGCGGGAAGGGAGGAGGTCAGAGCTGCGGATCCTGCTTCCCGAAGGGCATTTGTAAGAGGAGGCGAACAGGTTTGACTGAAAAGCTGCTCGAAAAAACAGGCTAAACTGGGAAGAACACTTGCGGCTTGGCTGGAGGGCTTTGCCCTTTTGCCCTCTGCTCGTTTTTGATAACGTGTTTTCTGTCTTGCAGGGTAGGAGGTGAGAAAGTCCTCCTCCTCTCGGCATCAGCCTGGGGGTTCCTCACGGTCCTCACGCCGCTGCTCACCCACGTCACGTCTGCCCATCTGGTTTTTATGACCTCCTCCAGGTTCCTCATGGGGCTGCTGCAAGGTGAGACCCCCACCCTGCCAGTGTGTCTGTCTGCCCAGGGGTTTCCTTGCACCGGGGCTCGTGCGCAGTAAATTCAGGTGCAAATCATGTGGTTTGCAGCGCAAACCTGCGCGTTCAAGCAGTCCTCTGCCTCAAAACTGCCTCGGCATCCAGAACTTCCACGGGAAAAAAAAGTGACATTTCTAGATAAAGTCGCTGACAAGTCGTTCCCCTGTAGAAATCTCTCTGCCAGACAAGGGCTGCTGGCTTCCGAAATCATCAATGTTCCTGTTTGATCTTCTGCATTTTAAAACTCCTTCAAAGCACTTGGGGGAAAATTGGTCCTTGCCAAAACTTCTGAATAATTTGGGTTGATTTTCCTTCCCTTTTGCCGAGCTGCCGCGCTGGGGCACCGCTGGGAGAAGTGCATTGGCAATGGTGGATTTACAGTAGCAGCAGTGATGAGGAAACGGGGGATTACGGAGAAGGCACAAACAAACCTTTCACGGCGATAGATTCATTTACTTTGTTTTATAGCCCTGTTTTGAATTCACCAAAGGTCTCGCTGCTTTGTCTCGGTGTTTAACTCCTGCTGGATCTTTTAAATTTGCTTTTGATTTGCTGACGAGGGCACAGGAGCCTGACTGCTCCCTGCCTTGCTCCCGTTGCTCGCAGGGGTGTATTTCCCGTCCCTGGCCAGCCTGCTGTCCCAGAAGGTCCGGGAGAGCGAGCGAGCCTTCACCTACAGCACAGTGGGGACTGGCTCGCAGTTTGGGTAAGTTCAGAGGCTTCGAGCAGCGAGTGACAGTCTCCGGACATCGCACGTGATGAAGTGCCTTTAAATAGTTGGAGGCAAAACTCGCAGCCCAAAGCCAATGCGGATTTCTGGGTCCTTGAGGATACCGGCTGCAGCTGAGGAAGCCTCAGGCAGTTGCTGTCGTGCACGTCAAGGGTTTATGGGTTTTTCTTTTCTTTCTTTCCAAGCCAGAATTTAAAGAGTGTTTGCAACATTTAATTACTGTGTGAAACAGCCTGATCCGGTAGGAAGAGCAAGGGTCAGCCCGAGACTGGTCACCTGTCTTCTCTGATAGATGGGGCTAATATAACTTCCCCACCTCTGCTAACCTCCATGAGAGTTTCCTCTCTAAATGGAGGGGCTGCTTAAAAGCCAAATAGAAATATTAGTGCATTTAATCACTTAATTTCCCAATGTGCAAATTTCTTTTGCTGACTTATACATTCTCTGAGATACCTTCTGCTCACCAGCAACCTCATTTTCTTTCCC